AAATATTTATCATGTTTATGAGTCGTTGCAACTTGTTTGTGCGTTTTTATTGTGGTTTAACGTATTTATAGCTATATTATGAAAAATATATGATAAAATAAGCTCCAGGTGACAGTTAAGATCTTTCCAAATTTCGTCGGCGACAGCAGACTTTTTTTGCTCGGTCCGCACCTGAACAAGGGGCTGGCAGTTATTAGTCCCTACGTGTCTGCATAGCTACTGCGAATGTTGAGCTACGTATGCTGCGTTCTTGAGACCTTCATAAGCGTTGCTATATTTAACGTCAAATTGTCAAATTGTGAGTAGAATTATAGGTAGCCAAGCCGGGGTGCTGAGCACGATACGCATCTGTGATACGGTTTGTCTGACCGGGACAACGTTAACAGTACAATTGATGAAACTTTGTGCGTTGCATACGAATGGCAGTGCGCTCCAAAAGTTCATTTACCCCATTACTGAGCATAGTTTTAATAGGCGTGATGATATAGACGTACACTGTCATGTGCGCGAAGCCGCACGGGCAGCTCGCGGACCTGTGTGACCCTGATTCGTGGCTGATGACTGGATGTGTTTTGGGGTCGGCCGTCACTTCTTCAGTTCCCCGTGGCGACATCTGGGCCTCGCACTAAACGATGACCTTTCCTGGCTTAATGAGGCTCCCCATAACATCTGTGCTGCTTATCTTACAACAAAAAATACGATCAGAGGCCAGTTTTATAAAATAAAAAATTGCCTCCGCTCCCCGCCAAAAAAAAACTCTACCAAAAAATTCCTCCGCTTACCGAGTTTTATAAGCCGTCCTGACAACTCGACGACCGACGTAAATTTCACCGTCGACGGCTTTTTTAGACTCAAAGCCAGCTGTTCCTTATCAGAAGTACAAGATGCTATCGTACCGCAAACAGCCATATTTTTATTTTCATGATGGTCGATTATGCTCATTAAGAACGACAAATAGCTTTTGTTATTACCAATTAGGTGCAACAAGTGTCTTTTGTGTGCAATTTGTATTTTTGTTCCGCAATAGCATTTTAACATCGACATTCAAAACAAATTTCTACCCAAGCAGTAGGCAGTAGTCAAAGGTACGCAGGAAGATATAGCTCGGCGTGCGAAACCTTGCGTTTTCTTACTAGTTAAAGAAAGTATGAAACATTCCGAGTCGTGTAAAAAAGTACATTATTGGTTATGTCGAGTAGATACAAAGCAAGTGTAGTGAGTAACTCATTGGTAATATCCTCCGCTGAGACACATGTCAGATCTGAATAAAATAGTACTGCATGGGTAGGCGCTTGAGCATTGGTCGCTGTTCTGTCCCCCTTTGCAGTAAGGTGTGATGAGGAATCTGGGCTGCCTGAACAACGTACTTCGAGCACGGCAGATAACTTCGTGTGAGAGGGTCAGCCCACGTCTATGGAAAGCTAGGGAGTGGTCATGCCCCCCCCCCTCCCTTTCAGTTTGCTGGTTATAAGTGAATACTCAACCACAAGCATACCACAAGTAATTTAATGAAAACGGGCATGCATACTTTGAATAAATTACCCAGTTATTATCTCATTGGCGAAATATTGCGCGCAAAATTAGGGGAAATAGCGTTTGAATTATGGTACCATACGGTAAGGCACCTATTTACTACCACTGACTGAAATACCATGGCATATGCCCCTCCCCTTTGTCCGATCGATTCATCTCCTGGTTTAATGACACTGCTTACAGCCCCGCGTATAAATATTTCACTGCTTGGCGCATACCTACACGGTACCTACCTACCAAGGAATAAACCTGGGTATCCCTCCATCCTCCCCTGATCTCCCCAGAATGAACTTACCTTGGTGGCGGATAAATCGAAAGTAGGACGTAGAATCTAAACAAATAGGTCTCGTGGGATGTAGGATCCAGGCAGCCAGGTAGGTAACAGGTAACCTTATCATAGAAAGTAATGAAACTATTGATGTTGCCAATCAGTGTAAAGGTGATGGGGCTGGATGTGAGGGGGGGGGGGGGGGGCTATCACTAAATAAATCACTAATGTCACAGAAAGAGCGGCAAGCAATCACAACCAGGGAAATAAATAGCAAATGTCATCTAAGTTGCACATAAAAAGAAGACATTTAGTATAGTGTAAACATCTAAGATGACTAGTTTTAAGCGGCCCGTTAGGATATCTGTCCACTGAGGCATTGCGTCGTTCCCCTTTCAATCGCCACTAGAAATAATACAAATGCTTCAGGTACTCATTCATGATTTCAGATCACTGCCACCCAAGCATAGTCCATAAGCGGAAAGGGGGAGGAGGAGGGGGCAGGAGAACTGCCACACAAATAAGGGCAACTTTTGACATAAACTCCCCCCCTCCCCTCCATCCAGCACCTAGAGAGATGCTGCACTGCACGCCTTTCATGCATACTGTGTCTTAGCGTGCTACAAGCAGCAAGATGTTGGCGTGTGGGTAAAGCTGTGATATATCCAGTAATAGCGCAAATATTGATAAATCGAGGCTCACCGGTGCGCTGTAGCATGTTGCTGAATCCTGGACAATGTTTTCAACGACGTTCCTTTTAGTCTATGCTTCTGCGTCTTACATGCATGGGGTAGAACCGAGGCACCACATAGGCATCTCGGAGCATGATGTACGCTGCCAGTCCTTATCAGTAGCCTGATGTAGCCTGATAATGATTCCACCATCGGTCAGGTGGAAACAAAGCGATACAGTCTAAGCAATAAAGATGCACGCACCCCTGAAGCTAGGTTTCTGACCCATTGCAACCTACGTACGGCACATTTTGATAAAAGTACGTCGGCCTTGATTAAAAAAACGCAGCGATGACGTTGATTTTATATCGGCCCATTTTCTACAATAACTGCGCATTTACGATTGCGCTTCTCGCCGCGCATTTTGTTTATAAAACTCGATGGAGGGAAAATCGCTTTCGATGACGGAGGATTTCGTGGAGGATAATCTTGTTTTGCTCCGAGCTTTATTTAACTCGGAGGACGAAAATCTGAGGGAAATTGCCTCCGCTGACGGTATTTTCTTTTATAAAACTGGCCTCAGTACTCAGCGCAAGCTGCTAGCCGGCTTCCGCACCGGCGCAGGGACAACGGAATTTCTCCTATGTTCGGTGGGGGAGCTAGCCATCTTGTTTACTTCTTTGCAGTCAACGCCCATGTGGTGAATGCCAAATTGTAATAAAGTTGGGGAGCTCGTGCCCCTTTTCTAGCACCAGCCTCCCTGCGTAGGCCATTCATTTCCAACGCTGATTTATTTAAACGGCTTTGGCGAATATAAGTTCGTAAAGCCCATGATATGTTTCCCATGTAATTCTACCTCATCGGTTCGCAGATGTATGCACCCACCAGTACTAATCTACTCGTTACCTTACTGGTAAGAAGGCAGCCCAATGTTCAGGCTGCCTATCTACACAGTTCACGCGTGAACGCGTTCGCCTTTCACGCTGATTGCATTTTAACCTTTGGCATATCAACATGCACATGGCTCACCATCATACTCTCAATTGAAATATACACATTCCGATATCTGGTAATGTGCGCCTTCCCTCCACACCTTGTTTGTCATCGGTGCGAAGGCAGGCCGATGTTCTGGCTGCCCATCTCTGCAGCGGTTCGTGTATAGGCGTGTTCGATTTCCGCGCCGATTTCATTGCAATGGCTGGCCGCATAAGCTTGCAAAGTATATCATAATATTCCACGCGTTTGCCTTGTTAGTAATATGCACCTCCCGCGAAAAGTTTACTCATTATCGATATAAAGAGAGCCTGATGTTCTGGCCGTTCTTACTCATATAATTCTCGTGCGTATGTATTTCACTTTTCATGCCATTGCATTTTAAATGTTACGGCATGGCCTTGCAAAGTATACCATCATCTTCGCCACTGAACTTTATGTCATCGGCTCGCCAGTCATGTACCTTTTCTGTTAGCGACTTGTTCATGATCTGTTCGAAGTTTGTTTTTTTTTAATTCCGATGTTCCCACTGCTCCGCAGCTTCATGTCCGACGGCTAGCGGCCGCGCCGCGTTGAGGTCTCAGCACCGGTGTATAACAAGCTCTAGGCTACAGGACACTGGCCTGAAGCAAATCAGTGCTGCTTTTGCAACCCGTGACGAGTGAATAGGGTAGTGTGGGGCCATCCGTCGGCGTGTAGTCAGCCGGCCGGCCAAGAGCGCCGCCGCCTGCGGCGTCGGCATACAGCCATTCAATCATGTTATGCAACCGCACATCTGCAAACAACCCGCCGCCGACCACGCCCGGCTCTGTGCGCCGGGCCGGTCTTTCCACGAAAGCCGTCGTGGCAACTACGGCGAGCTTTGGCTCTGCCCGTCTGCCTCAAAATAAACAGCAAGACGAAGTAAATAAACAGTCTTTGGGAAAATACACACGATCGGTGCCGAGCCTCCTCAATTGAGTGTGGCGCACGGGGGCACGACGACAGTACGACAGCTGAGTGCGGCGCGGGCACACGACCACAGCACAACAGCTGAGTGCAAAAACGGCGTTTTAACGGGTCCCAGAACCCTTGTGAACGAGCGCCCACAAGACCTCAGAAACCGCAACTGATATGGCATCTCGAAAAATTGGTCACAGTGTGCCAAAATACGACGGTTCGAAAGGATACAGAATACATCCGATAGGATGAGAATACAGCCCACGGACATTCGACAGCGTATAACAGTTGAACGGCGACATCATACTCAAACGAATGAGCTCGAGCTGCATCAAGCTTGAAAAATTGCACCCTCGCATGATACGACATCCGGCCACCGTTATACCAACGAGGGCTCGCAAGCAATGGGATGCCCAATGAGATCCAGGTACGCTTCGTTAATCGCAGCGAGGGAGACTGTCCCAGCTCTGTTTCGCGGCCGTTTAATTCATGACATGATTTTTGCACTTCGTGGGACAATACTGGCCAAAACACAACTTTCATTTTCGCTACCATGCACAATTTGGTTACACCGAATTAATAATGATAACACTTACCATGGGCCCCAGGCTGGGCAACGAAGACGCTTCCACTTAGCAACTGCTTTCCCTCTCCTTTATCAGTCGCATTGTTTTTTACGAGACCGTAGACAATCTAAAACAGGAGCGGGATATCACACACTTGCGCAGGTTTCTCAATACACGAAGTTGATAGCCACCCACCAATCCTGCTCACTCCCACGTTGTCTGCACACCAGCGTTAGAAGTTTCGAGGGAAGCACTTAACCCAAGTTATTAGAACACAGGGCCGTTCACGGAAAGGCTATTGGTACGAATTGTTGCAGGTCGGAAAAAGAGCTGCGGGATCGGCGGTCAGCTGTGTTTCAGTTTCCCGGTCATGCATGTTAATGCCTTCTCCGTGGTCTAGCGGAAAAGTGCTGGGCTCGTAATCCAGCGGCACTAGGTAGGAGCCCCAGAGTGGGCGCATTGTTTAGCCCGACTGAAACGGAAAGGCCAGCTGCCAACTGGCCAACGAGGGTCAACCCATGCCCAGCGCGGCTATGTCGCAGCCTTGTGCGGCACGTAACACGCTCCGCATTCCTGTCTGGCGAAGGGGCGCAGCCAAATCATCTGTTGAACTGGAAGGCACGACATGGGTGGTAGGTTCAGGTGATACGCAACATACTATGCTTGACAGGCACTATGAACCCAAAGTCGCCAATGCAAACCATTCGGAATAAACGTATAAAAAACGGCTGCGAAGGTGGGTCGTCGAGTCCAAATTTGGAAACTGGATTAGCTTGCAATGTAGCTGCATGCGCGTTCAAGCGTATCTAAATACTTACTGATTAAACTCAGTGAGTAATGCTTGCTATTCTGTCAATTAATTCAAATGACCAAATATAATATATTTAAGCCATTCCCATAGGCTGGCTGCGTAACGCTTTGTTTCGTTTTGCGTTCTAACCCAAGGCATCCATAATTCCTATAGTTCAGCCCTGTAATAGAGCCAGTTTTACATATAATTCCGTACATATGTCATTTGCTCATGCAAGACCCCCGCCGATATCAACGACATTTTTGCTCGATGAAGACCGGTATAACACTTGCAGGTCTCAATGCTGACAAAGCACACCATGATAATAGCTTTATCCCGTCAGTTGCTAAGAATGATGCTAACCCTAACTTTGCTTGTGCGGTATAACTCCGAAAAGGCACTTCCGTTGCACAGAAACAGTCAAAGTCGCGCTATAAATGTTTGAAGCACCGTGTACAACAGTAAATCAAGGCTTCATTTATCCTGACGCGTATCCATGACCGTAGCGTGTTTTTGAGGTCTTCCATGTGCCCGTCATAGGCTCATCGTGGGTGAAAAATCAATCAAGTTGAGCTAGGCTAAGGCCAAAATGGTGAACATCTGGTACATAGCTGTTCTGATATGGTTTCAAGCGTGTTTCAGTTGCGTGCTCACTGCAGTGGTAATTCCTACCATCAAACTGTGCCACAATGTGATGAGGAAATCAACCCTGGGTCGTCCTGGACTCTGTCATTGTGACGTCACGCAGTGAAACGCCGGAGGCCTTTTGAGTAGTGGACGCAAACTATCTGTACATGCAGCATGATCGTCCACGCTGCTGATGTATCGTATGGTGCGTCATAGGCTCATTAACTGACGTGATGCCTGCTCGCCGTAACGTGTACACGTTACAACACAAGCCTTTGAGGAGAAAAAATGGCGGCATGATTTAATGCGATCTTACCCTGGGAGTGACAGTGAGTGATATCTCAGAGCGACAGGTCTCGTTCAATGCATAGGAGACGTTCAAATTGGTCTATTTCGTCTCTATGTTTTATTTTTTTCTATTTCCATATTTCAACCACTACATTTCGATTTCGATGTGGTGGATACGTGTGTTAACTCATACATGTGTGCTACCGTGGTTGGTCCTGCGGTTTTTATGCTGACGATATCATGAAAAAAATCGCCAACTTTGTATTGCAGCCAAGATGGTCATTATGGCCGTGCAATTTCGTTGGAGGTCTGTCCTAATGCCTGTCTCGGAGCCATCCCCGCGCATGCAATGCGCCCGAAATTTTGACACAATGAGTAAAAATGCATGCAGAGAGTGAGTAAATTTAAGCGGTCTTTTGCTTACAATACTGGAGATTCTAGAAAAAACAAAGGGGCGAATTCGCCCCCATTCTGAAAGGGGGGAATCCCAAGCCCTGAACATGTCTATTGTTCGAGCACACAGCAGTGATATGGTTTTGATATTCAAAGGAACATTAAATGACTGGATCAAGACGGATCACATATCCCGCGGTGCCGCAATTGCGCCGAAATCCGACCGTTTATTTTTTAAGGTAACTCTCTTGTTCATCACAGCAGTAAATATAACAAACAACCCTCCGCTGAAAGGCTTTTTCAACGAGTTCGTGAGAGCGTGGGGGCGATAAATGGGTAAGCGGGGGCTGTGTATCTTTTCCTAGTTTAGGAGGGAAAAATGGCCGTGTCCTTAAATGTTTCAGGGAAGACGTGAGAGGGACAGACCTTATTAAAAAACAATTAGAATGAAACTGTTTTCAGAAAAATTACGGAAAAAGAAAATCGTCACTCGTCATTGCCGACCGAGGTGTGACTGGTGCACTTCATTGCACTGCATAAGTTCAGTAAAAAGTGTGCGTGATAGTCTTCTGTATTTCCAGAAAGAAACGATCAAGTAAGCTAAAAAATCAGGCCTCTACACGATCCTAAAAGCCTGCTTTGTAATTTTCGGGAGAGCTACACTGAACATGACTCTCAGTGGGAGCATTTGTAGCAGGTGGCGTTCATGAAATAAAGTTGTTGTTGCACGTTTAGCGGGAAAAGAAGAAGAGCCCTTTTCCTCAGAGGGCTCGGACTAGTCCCCTTAGTTGGCTCGGACAGAAGCCGCGGTAGCCTGCTGCATGCAAGTTGGCTTAGAAAGATGCTTGGTGTCGGTTATGATTTGTCGGGTTTGGACAGCTGTATGAACGCTGGCAGGAATATGAGAGGTGTACTAATTGCGACGGAATCAGTGGAGGGAGCGTTTCTAGCGTGCGGTAACGTTTTTACTTCGTCCTACCACCACCGTAATGGTTTGTGTTGCGGTGCACGTTTACTGTGGGAAATGAACCTGATTTACGTACATAACAGGACTCACATTCTGATAAATCATCACACCGTGCATCGAAAAAATGTTGTAATCATGTACTTGAATGCTCCAGGACAACAGAAGCCATAGTTTTTAGGTGGCTTTTTCATCGCTCGCCAAACGTAGCCGAGGCGTTTGGCAAGGCGCTACGTCATGTCGATAACACTTTGGCTGCGACGACCCAGAGCGTTCCTTGAAATGCTGGCGGCTGGGTTCATTTTTAAATGATGTTGTTGTAAGCGTTGCACACAATGACAGGGGCAAGGACACATATTCTCCTACCTGAATTTTGCAAGGCTGATGCGAAAAATCTGCTGAAAGTTGTTGGATATGTTCAAGGTTCTCAGCCACCTGAAGTTTGAGCCGAACATCGCGCGGTCGAGTTTCGTCGTCTCAAAACTCAAATGAATGTAGCAATAAACCAGAAATACTTTCACAGCGGTCGTGCTGTAACTGGGGGTGATTCGTGGTTTTTAACCAACTATTGGTGATTGCGCTGGGTTGCTTTAGGGGTGGCTGCTTTATGATCAAGTAAATAAACTCACTAACGACGATGCGGCGAATGATTCAGACAGCTCAGAAAATGCGATTGAGCAAAACGAAACATCGCAACAAAATAGGACACTATAGATAGCCTACACGAATACATTAACGCTAACAACTGTCGATGGTAATACATGAGAGCTTTGGACCAGCATCGCACATCGAGGTCGTCATTGTTCCAAATATAAGTGCAAAATGGCATGCACACATGTGTCTTTGTCCCACAAAGGCACGGACGGCAGCTGTGCTTCATCTGCAGTTGGGGGATAGCGTAAATTGCATAAATGCACATTGACGCATTCATTGATACACTGATCGACATTAACAACCTAACAAGTGTTAACTGCCAAAAATGCTTGCAGCCCAAAACAGTGAGCGATCTCCTTATGGCGGGCCGCACTGTCGAGGTTGCGACAGCGTTGCAGTCAGATTCTCGACAGAGGCGGTTCTAACTGTAAAGTTGCTCGCCCGAGACGGGATTACTGTGGCGTGCATCAAAGGTGTTACAGCACCCTTTATCCAGGCAGCAACACGGAGCCGCTCCGGACGCCTGTCGGGCTTGACGGTGAGCGGCGGATCTTCGGCTCTGTTTGTCAGCCTCAAAGGCGCGCTGTAGCTGACCTGAGGGCTGGGCTCGCCGATCTGGAGATGCGGCGCTAGAGTCCGCCAACTGACTATCTCCGCACTAAGGCTGTGATATGCGCCGGGGAGTTTCTGTCACAGATAAGATGTCTTGAAAAATAATTTCGATTCGACCAGTTGGTCCGTCGGAACGCTGCAATATTTTTTTTTTGTCTTGGCATTTCATAAATAAGTGTCGTTGCTCAGCTACCTTCGATTTCTTATAGCATCCTCTCGGATTTTATTTGTCCCAGGAAGACATTTGTTATGTTGCATTAGGCTGGTTCATAGTGTCTTGGAACTGTTCACTTGACACTGTAACTTAACACGCTCTCCAGCGTGGTGGGGAGCAATTCAACCCGCTCCCCTACGAGGTGTCCCAGAATAATTTCCGAACGAAGTAGCGCAACCGCGCGAAAGGTAGGCCTGTAAGCAAGTGAGTAAGGCCATCTTTTGATACAACAAAATTAGATACAGCTCGTAAAGTGGCTGAGCTTAGCAGTAAAAGGCCAGGCCATGGCGACCAGCGAAGGCGATGTTTATATTGGGCATCGTTGGGCATGCAACACCAGGGTGTTAGACGAAGTTACACAGCCTCGGGATGGTTTCTAGAATATCAGATAATGCAGTCATGATTAAGACCAATTTCATTCAAGTTGGGTCAGATATAAAGGTCAGATCAATGTGAAAACAACCGCTTTATCATTGAACAACTTGCTTTATGAACTAGATTGAAATGCCGATTTCAAATTTCCGGATCACAAGAACGTCAACAGATTACTTGACAATGTTACTTGACAATTATTTGTAATCAAAA